TCCGAACGCATTTACATTGTAAATCCGTATGTAAATGTACCACATGTGAATAATTGAAATTTACATCCGGATTTTTTTAATGATTTGAGAGCGTGTCGCTATTTTAAGCAACTACAAAAAAATCAATATGTCAAACTTAAACGAGCATTAAAAACCATATATTTTTCAATTAGGTTAAATATCATTTTGTTATAGGAAAAAATGCTCGTACAAACAAACAAAACAGGACAAAAATTACGACTAGATTTTTCACACTTTTTTAAAATATAAGATTTGCTCAAGATTAAACTGTACATGTACGTTAAAATATAATTTTAAATTTCTAGAATAATTAAGAAATAAAATGTTCAATACTGATTACCAAAGGAACAGAATGTAAATAATAGATTATCCTTTTTTTTCTGGGGTACCTGAGGAAAAATCTCCGGAGCTTCCAATGAAATGGGTCTATTTATCAATCCTGACCTCTTGGATTCGGCTGAATAATTCGATTAGGCCCCCGGGGCAACGAACCTGCGTCTAAATTTATAAACCTTTTTAAGTCGATGTTAAATCTTTTTAACTTCCTTCTAACTGAACCAAACCTATAATTAAATCATCGAAATTTATCAATTATTAAAACAATTTTGATTAAAGAAAGAAATTTTATCGGTACTTTTCAAGAAAAAATACTATTGCTCTCAGATTTGACAGTAACGAAAAACACCAAAATAACTATACATAAATGTTATTTTCATGAGAGCAATGATGAATTAATCAACTATCCTATCTCAAACGTAAAATTTCATGTTATTTTTGCCTTAATCATTCGAAAGTCCGTGTTTTTAAACGAGCAGAAAGTTTATCTATAATAAATTTGTTATTTTAAAAATTGCATAAAAACGTTGGTAATTTAATAGGATCTGACCTATTGAATACGTACAACACAACATTTTTTTCATTTATTTTTATCTACAACTGTACATATTTTATATACGCAGATTGGAAGTTAATTTATGCTTGTGGCATTAAGGGCATTATAGAGGGAGCTATCATTGCCAGCCGCTCTGGATTAATGAAATGATTTTTTAATTTACTATGAAAACGTCTGTAATGTGTTTTGATGGATGAAAAAACTGTTGACATGCGAAGATCTCTTTGAAGTGTGTTATTGTTTACGTAAAAAGGAGCAGAACAATTAGTCTTAATATTTCGGATGGAAAAATTTGTTATCTTTGAATATTGGAACGGCCGATCTATAAACACCCGTACATGTAAATAGGTTTGAGTAGGGATGTGTATGTCGAAACCTGATTTTAATGGTAATTTTATTAATTAGTATTTTTATGTAATGTCTTGGTTGAGATAAAAAAGGCAGTGTCACGAGCGGGATTCGAACTCACGACGTTCGGCTAAATACGCCGCTGCTCGACCACTTGAGCTATCGTGACCTGACGCCGAGAATCGGATCCTGATTACATATTTCAAAAATGGCGAAAAGTAGGGAAAATTCGAAAGGTAGGTTGAGATGAGGAATTGGTGTCCGAGTGGATTGAAGTCACGATAGCTCAAGTCGTAGAATAGCGGCGTATTTAGCCGTAGGTCGTGGGTTCGAATCCCGTTCGTGACGCTGCCTTTTTTATCTCAACCAAGACCTTACATAGAAAGAATAATTAATTGACAGAAATAACTTGGTCAATTGACCACTAAAACGTAAATGGCATCATTTTTATTGTAGGTTGAGTAGGCAATAATTCGTTTTTTATTTAGAAATCGTGAGATGCGGTCTGGTGTGATGTAGGTTTCAGAAAAACATTTTCTTTATCGTGCCAACGTTTCGATCTTTATTGAGCCCTGAAGATGATCTCAATAAAGATCGAAACGTTGGCACGATAAAAAAAAAATGTTTTTCTGAAACCTACATCACACCAGACCGCATCTCACGATTTCTAAATAAATATCGATTAACGGTCACTAATCACCACACAATAATTCGTTTGTTGAGTGTCTGTTTTTTTAGTCGTATGTTTGAAATCCAAGTTATGTAATTTAAATCGTAAATAGTTAACTATGTCGGATTGAAGAACAGGAGGATTTTATAAGTATATGCTAGGACAAGTCTCACGAGGGAGTGTAAAGGACTTTGAAGGGTTAAACTTTTTTTCCAAAGCTCCATTTTTAAATTGTCGACATATGATTTTGTAGTTATTTTGAAGCTTGTAGAAGAGGGATGACTTGTTAATATAGCGGTGTTTTCTGCGTATGTGGCAGTTAGTGCATTATCATTTGTGGGCATATCAGAAATAAAAATTGTGAACAACAGCGGAGCGAGTACTGACCCATGTGGCACGCCTGCAAGCACTTCTTCCTTCTCAGAAGTCTCCGATCACCGGTTTCCTCTGATAATTGTATAATCCGATAATAGGTCTGGGGTAAAAATAGTTTTAATTTTTATAATAATCCCTCATGCCATAATTTGCCGAAGGCCTGAGAAACATCTAAAAACACTACATCGAGTAGTTTTTGAGTCATGAAGTAATGAAATCTGCAACTATGTGATGTTGACGAGTATTGGAATGATAAGTTCAAAAACCAAATAAATGGTCTGGGAAGATATTGCTTGAAGCAGCAATAGATAATTCTTTTGTCATTTAACTTTTCAAATAATTTAGAAGGAATGGGTAACAAACAAATAGGATAATAAGAAGATGGGTAGCTTAAATTTAAATTTATATAAAAATAAGATATTTTTACGTTCTTCCGTTTCATTCTTATCTCTTATGCTATAAATTAAATTGAAAAAAAATTGACGTTTAGCTTTAAGTTTGTTTAATTTAAGTACATCGCGAATGAGAATATTAAATTGCCAATAATCTGCAGATAGATTTTTTACATACATAGATACTCCTAGGTTCATGTTTGCTTACCTATTTACATAAAACATCACTAAATGTAATTTTATGTGTGAAGTTGAGTTTAACCGCAGTTCATTGCAATGAATATTAAAATAACAGCATAACTTACCATATACTTTTGATAATAGTACTTCCCCAACCGACCACATAATTATTTAATTGTATAAAAGTTATTTGTATACATTAAAACGCACATAGCATACATTGTGTCATTTCACATATTTTTTGTTCAAAACCCATATTTTCTCACACTTTCCCAGATGTACAGTAACTTTCTCAT